TTTTGAAAAATGCAAACAAGTCGGTGTATGATTTTCCCATCCTGACACCTTGGTACACACACATGCTCATGCACACAGTCTGAGCCCTGCAGCAGTCGCGGCAGCGGCAGCAGCCCCGTAGCGCTCTGCTGTTTTTAATTGAACAGATAACAGACTGAGTGGGGTTTTGTCTGCAGTGGAAACGGAGCTCAGGAGGATTTGTGCGCCTCCTGTTCCACTGTGGAGACAGACCTACCCTCTGGTTTCTCACTCTCTGCAGTGGTGAAGCATCATGGACAGCAATGAGACGCAGGCAGGCATACAAATGTGGCATGAGCTGGAGTGTGCATACATGCAGACACACACACTCACAGAGACACACGGAAACGTACAGAGGTACTTACCAGAGGGCTTCATCCAGACTGTTAAAACCCAGGACACCCCTCAGATGCTGTCATCTACATCTTCATCTTCACACACTTTTCTCTACGTCTTCTTCCTCTCCGCCTCTGTCGTTGCTGTTGTCGTCCTCTTCGTTCCTCTCTGCTCTCCAGCAGTCTCCACACTGATCTTTTAAGTCTACCAACCTCTCCACTGATCAATGGACAGCCGGGGAAGCAAGCTCGGCTGCCTCCACCTCCTCTAGCTTAGTGTGTGCGTGTATATGTGTGTCACTCAGAAGAGTGGAGGCTTCCATCCCACTCATATGCACCACTCTCCAGAGCTCTCTGCCTCCACAGTGCTTCATCAGTTGACCACTCCACACCCCTACGCATCAATTGTGTGCCTATACACACCTATGAAATGCATGCGCACATGCAAACATACACACATTCACTTGAAAGTGAACCCTCCTGAAGTTCAGGGAGGTGGTTGTGGTTGTGATGTTGGAATTTAGCAAACAAAAAAAAATCATTGGACTAATTACAAATACTCTCTCTTCTCGAATAAATTTAGATAATGATGCCTGCAACACAGAAATTGGGACTCAGGCAAAGTACAATGAAAAAGTTACGCAGCGGTTCTCCAGTTAGCAGAACAATTTAGATTAGATTAGATTAGAATAGATTAGATTAGATTAGTTGTTCAAGCAGGGATAACTTTGTAGCTCAAAAATTTCTTCTGAAATTTTAGAGAACTGTCAATACATCATTCAGTGCAAAGTAGCAAAGAAATTTGACTATAAAGACATGGACTGTATGTATCTTTCTGGTCTGCCTGCAGTCCTGATATGTGTCCTATTGGATTGAATTGTCCAGTCATCGTGTAGAAATGCTGGGGTCTGTTAAACAGCCAGAAAGAGCAAAAACCTAAAAATCAACATGCAACACAAAATCTGTTTCTCTGGTTTAGAAACGATGAGTGATGTTTTATACAATTTAAAAAAAAAGTGAAATAAGATGTGATCAGGTGATAAATTAGAATGGGTTCCAATGTTTTGGAGGTTGTTATTTTGAAGTATGTGAATAAAAAAGTGATTGATGTCATTAATTAGATTTTTCTGAAAAGCTCAGTGCTGTAAAATGCATACATAATCAGGGATCATTTCTCTTTGTAAATATATATATATAAACTTGATTACTAAATCTAATCAAATATAATCTTTTTTTAATATAATGTAATTTAGTCTTATCAAATCCCAAAAAATCTGATGTAATGTAATCTGTTTTTGTCTTGTCTATTTATGATCAAATCTAATCAAGTCGAGTCCAGTAAAATTCACTAATCTGATCTAATCTAATCTAATCTGATCTAATCTCATCTAATGTTACAGTACTGTATCTCCTGTATGCATTTGGAATCCCACAGCAGCTCTTGGTAATTTTACCCTAAAGGAATAGTGTGTGACCTGCACTGCAGCAAGTTTATAAATAGTGATCTAAATCCATCCTGTTCTGCCTTGGTGTGTGTCTCTGTGTGTTTTTGTGTGTCTCTTTGTGAGGCGGAGAGGACCGTCACCAGAAATGCAGGTGATCTGTGGGTTACATCAGCGGAGGTTAAATAACTAGTCTCAGTCCATTTTAGTAAAAGCCACAGAAGTTAATATTTCACAGCGTTAAAATATCACAAATTGAACATAATTGTCTCAAACGACAAATGAAACGTGACCAAAGACTTGGGTTTTAAGAGTTTCCTGCTGCATTAAATAATTTAAAAAATGGGACCAGAAGAAAGTTTGGTGCGGCTGTGGATCAGACTGAGTGACACCTTGTCAGATGCTGAGTAAAGTCAGACTCAGTGCATCACTCACTGGAGGCGACAGCAGGTCAAATTAAAGTCAATTATGTTGGAACTTTTTGGAGATATTAGAGCGAAATGTTACTAAAAGCACTGATTGAAAAAAAAACAAATCTTCAGCAGCACCAGACCTGGGACAAGGAGAGATTTATGTCATTATTTCTGCATTTATTCAAATGTGCCCTGCTGAGGCACACACACAATGGTAGAGACGTTTTTTTAATGCAGTGCATAGTGGAGCTCAGGAAAAATAGCTAAAAGGAACCAGTAGTAAAGCCTTGCTGCAGCTTTCCCCCCGACATTAAATTAATAAAGAGCTTCTTCTCCTGCACCGAAGTCCATTTTAAAAATCAACATTTTTAAGCCTAAATAGACCCAAGAGCTGCACTTAAGTATCTTGTTTGGTGATGTGTCTTTTTGGGAAAAATTACAGTAATTTTTTTTGGCACCATAGTTTCATGACTAACACGTTGACACCGACCAAAGAAGGGTGCTGGTGTAAAGTTGCTGATTTCTCTGTGATTCTTGATGCAGAACGTGGGTGATTTAATTGGAGAAGACTGGGTAACAGCAGCATAAATAAACTCCTCTGCTAAATAAGTTTGCCAAGTCTCCAAATTATTTTGTGACCTTGCTAGCATCTGCGTTATAAGTGAGTAATTGCCAGAAAACTTTGTGTAGAGAAAATAAATAAAAAACAAATTTTGTGCAATTTTGCATACTTCTGAGATGAACCTAACACTGTTTATGTACAAATGAGAATCAGAAATTGACACACTCCACAGGTTTTGACGGAGGCCAGTTTACAACCATATCATTTCCTTTTGTTTTTCTATTTTAATGAGTTCCTCAAATTTCTCAGAGACTTTTGATTCTGTAGTTTTGCAGGCTCTCTTTTGGTCTGCTTTGAGAGCTCAACAATCAGTAACTCTCCCACTTATGAGTCCGATGTTTTTAATTGTAGACGGTTCTGGGCTGCAGGAAGGACGATGATGCTTGTACAGCATCAGGACTTGACATGAAAATACACAATTAGAAAAAGGAAATCAACTGACACAGTCGTCAAATGGATTGTTAGGAACTGCAGACTTATTAACATGGTTAAGGAGCTCGGCTTTACTGACATTTTCAAAACTGTTTTCAACTATTCTACTAGCCACTTTCAAATTGCACAATGATGACTAAAGTCCACCAACTTTACAAGACAAAAGTTTGAATTATCATTTTAACTCTTGACATTTTTTCCATTTTGATTAGTCACAAATAAAAACACACATCTACCAGCTGTCATTTGTCTTTCTATTTCAATAGGACAGTCAGGTCTGTCTGTCCCTTCTGGGTTAATTAGTTCCATCACCCTCACCTGTGTCCTGTGATTCTCTGTTCATCAGTCTTACTCGTCTCGTCCTGTGTATCTATACGTCTGTCCCTCACTCTGTCTTTGCTGGCTAACTGTGTTGTTGGTGTGTTTCCTGTTCCGTGTCCAGTGTGTCTGCGTGTCTCCTCGTGGTCCTATCGTCTCTGTTCTTGCCTGATCCTTGGTTTCAGTGCGTTAGGACTGGGTTGCCAACCTGATTATTAGTTGATCTGTTAAATGAACTCTTTGCACTTGATCGTTTTTCCCTGGAGTATCCGGTGTGAGTCCTCCCTGCTTCCTTGCTCCTCCCCATATGTGGCAAATACAAAGAAAAAAAGGGTGTTGTCATATCTACGACAGACCTGAAGTTATGGCACAGCCTACCAGGATAAAATACGATGATACGATTAATATCAAGACCATTTAAAATCGTAGTAAAAATTATTGCTAGATGCCAATCTGTAAGCAGAAAGTGTTTTTTTGGCACAACCAGAAGTGGTAAATCAGTACTTTAAGTAAGGTGACTTTTGTTTTGACAGGCTGCTTGATGTGCTTGTGCTATTTTAAAAAACAAAATACAAACAAACAACAACAAAAAAACACTTTCTCATGCATAATAAAAAAATCAGCAAAGCATATATCATTTATGTCTACCTGGACCTGGACCTGGACCAGGACCAGGACCAGGTCCAGTTGGGAATCGTTGGACTAGTGGATTTAAAGTTGATATTCCATAACCTGCACTGAGAGTTGAGCCAAATGCAGGAATAAGAGGGATGATTAGTGATATCAGTGCATTTCCCCGTGTACCTGCACTGCTCTGCTTTCGTTTCCGTCGGTAATTTGAAATGTAATTACCCATCATTTTGGAGAGCTTCAGGAGGCTGACACCTCCGTCTACATCTGTCTTACTTTCAGTCTTTCTTACTCACTCACTCACGCACGCACATCGTGCTGCAGCACTGTGTGTGTTTTCCACCCCCGCACATATTTGAGCACTACCCCTACCATTACCTATGTAAATGACTGGCGCTCAGACTCAGCCACCTCTCCTACACTCTGACTAAATGGGAAGCTTTTATATGCATGCTGCAAACCAGCAAACCTAGAATCCTGTTCCACGGTGACGATAAGAAAAACCAGTTCACATGTGCATTTTCACAGCAACTCATCTGTGCTTACGGGGAGCAGGATGTAAAACGGATTAGAGAATTAAGGAGAGTGAAAGTGAAATTTAACAGCAGGAAATCATGTGCCGTATAATTAGAAACACTACTGTTGAAGTGTCAGGATGCTTTTATCAGATATTTGGCATATATTTATGACTTTTAATCACATTTTGGCATTATAAACAATTTTGTCTCCAGCTGTTGGCAGTTTACAAAATGTTTTCTTTTAACCAGGTTTTCTCAGTAATGTCTTTTCATTTTTTTTATTTTTGTGCTCCTTTTGTAGTCTTATAATATAAACAAGACATTTAGAAATTAATTTAAATATGAGAAATATTTGTCTGTACTCTTTTTAAGCTGTATGCTTAAGAAAACAATAAGTCATGTTTGCTCTTTTTGCTGTTTCAGAATTTGTTTCACTCTGTTTTATAGTTAGGACAAATAAGTTAATACATATTTCTCACTGAAAATCAATAGTTTTTTTATAAGCTGTAAGATTTAAAGTGTTCCAACGAAAGTGGATAGTGTTTTCTTTTTCTAGTTTTTCTTAAAAAATGCACTGCACTTTTTTTTACATAATGCGGGGAAAAAAAAACAGCGTCCATAAATTTGTGAGCGAAACATTTGGCCATCTGTCTCCTCAGCCTTCATACTCCTGTAGAAGAAAGAGCACAGATATGGAAGCATCAGTGTTTGCTTTTTACCTAAATATTCAAACTATTTTTTTTTCCTTCCCTAACATTTGCAGAGAAATAAAATGGCATCATTTTCAGTGCAGCCAGCAAAGGTGTTATTCTGCTCTGTATTCATGTCCAAAGTTCTGACTTTACACCTTTAGAGCTCCAGCAGCAGCTTTGAGTCTGGAATAGATTCCCTCTGAACATCCAGAACTTTTTTTTTTCTTGTAGGTCAGTCATGACTTTTCTCTCACATCCATACATGACGGCATAAAGCAGGCTCAAAACCTCCATCTGACAGTCTGAGGTCAGAAAGATGAGAAATATTTATTTGAAAGCCTCCTGAAGGAGCAGACCCTGCCGCTTTATTAATCAAGAGGCTGAAAGTCCAGGTATGAGAAGCCAGTGTTATTACACATGACTCCACAGTGACCACTCTGCACAAACAGCAGGACAATTAAATTCACCCCCTCGAAGTGTCTGTCTGTGATTATTGTTATTTTTTATATATCGTGCCGCAAGAATAAATGTGTGTCTGCTGTAGGGCTGTAATCTCTCTTGCGACTGGTCGTTTTATTGGTCGATATGTTTTTAAAATTTTGATTGATTTTCAGTATAAAATTTGACGATATCAGTCGACCAAGACTTTCATGGGTTGATTACAGCCCTAATCAGCTGTGTCCACCACACAGGAGTGATTTCCTT